CAATTTTCTCATTGAAATGGTAACTTTAGTTAAATCTTATGAATTTGTGCATTATTGAGCATCTTATCATGAGATTAACTTTTTGTTAAACTTTAACATTTCACTTTTCTTAGTTTGATCTCGACCTAACATCGATACATATTTTTGTAGAATAAAGTTCTACGATTACATAAGTCTTGTAGATACTTACCTAACATAGTATCTAGCATTCACATTGTATCTATCATTCAAAATTCTACTATATGCACAATCTTTGGGCAACATAGAAAAGCAAACTTGTTCATGACATAGCTATAGAAAAACTATTGTACTTACCAAAGTTTCGCTAACAACGCGTCCTTTGTCTCCCTTGACACTTTCCAACTTCAACCGTTAATCGGCCCTATTGCATAAATTTTTCGATCGTTAGATTTAGAATCTAAGATCGATAATTACATTAAAATTTACTTCGGTAAAGTCTACAATCCTTATGATTGGTATTCAACCTCAAACCATTTCCTATCTCAAGGATTTGCACTAAAATCGTGCAAATTACTCAGTCATGGGCCTAATTTTCAATTTCGGTCCAAAACTGTGAATTCTCGTTGTGTTCGGTTTCTAACCATCACCGATTATCGAAACATCTTTCTTTTCACACTTTAATCCCATATTTCTCTTGAAATCCAGTTTTAGTTCAAATTACTCAAACTAAATTTCGGCAGAGTTTCACCTTATTTTTCTCGTTTCTCGAGTTTTTAATAACTCGTTCTACTTCTGATTTCGATACCTGGAGTCAAGATTTAAATTCCTGAACACAGATTCCAACATAAAATTGAACAAAACATATGTTCTTTCTTAATCTAGGCTCACGGATTTTCGATAGAAATCCACCAAAACTTTATTCAATCGTCTTCACACTTACACCGTTAAACTCTTATTACGATACTCTACAAAACCTCAGTTTCAATTTTCACCTTAACGGAAGTTTTTCTGAGATGGGTTACTATTCATCTAAATCAAGAAAATATAGAATTCTCACGAAAACTCTGAAATCTTGCCTCCAGAAGTTGAGGTTTTTCTACTAGAACGCCTCAGGTTACGTTTCTACCGGACTGAACGGAAGAAATCTCAATGAAAATGCTTGATTTTCCTTTCTCCGTCTCTCTCTAACAACTCTCTTTCTTTTTTTTTTCTTTCTTCGTAACTCTCTCACGTCTCTCCTTTTATCTGCTATGCTATGCCTTACATTCACAAGTACATACCATGAGTAATGGCCTCAATAAGTTTTGCATTAGTTGCGTGAGTTACCAAGGCTATGTGATTTTCAAGGTGAGTTACCCATGTGAGTCACTAATGTTAGTCACCGCCTCATGTAGTAAAGCCAAGTGTACCCCTGCATGTTTAATACGTACCGATAATTTCACACCCGGTATATGTTCTATACTGCTTTTCTGGACTGCCGAGCACCCTGGGTCAAATTTCTCATATTCAACCCATTTCTCTTGGGTATCTCATTAGTCAATTTCCTTTTATGAAATTATCATTTTAATTGATTCAGAATTGCCCAAAATGCGTACCCTTGTGGTACTCTTTTTTTTGGCAGTTTCCCGCTTTAACTGACTCAGGAAAATTCCGTTTCAGAAATTTTTGCTATTTTCCTTACTTCTAATATTTCTATTCTTTTTCTAGCTGGTCATTTGGTCACATACAAAATATTTTAGTTTTTCATAACTAAAATATATCTGCTAAAATTTCTAACTTTTAACTGATATTTTACTATTCATAACTGATATTTACGAATTTTCTTTGTAAAATATTCATGTTATAACTTTACATATTTCGAGAAATTTTACCCCATACATAAAGTTTTTACATAACATTTTCTTGATTACATCAAAATTCTACTACTTACTATTCCGGAAAGAATTTTGGTCAAATACTGGACTGTCCGGATTAGACCTAAATTTTTCCCGGTCATTACAATGATTCAGAATTGCCCAAAATGCGTACCCTTGTAGTACTCATTTTTTTTTAGCAGTTTCTCGCTTAAACTGACTCGGGAAAATTCTGTTTTAGGAACTTTTACTATTTTCCTTACTTCTAATATTTCTATTCTTTTTCTAGCTGGTCATTTGGTCACATACCAAATATTTTAGTTTTTCATAACTAAAATATACCCGCTAAAATTTCTAACTTTTAACTGATATTTCACTATTCATAACTGATATTTACGAATTTTCTTTGTAAAATATTCATGTTATAACTTTACATATTTCGGGAAATTTTACCTCATACATAAAGTTTTTACATAACATTTTCTTGATTACATCAAAATTCTACTACTTACTATTCCGGAAAGAATTTCGGTCAAACACTGGACTGTCCGGATTAGACCTAAATTTTTTTCAGTCATTACAAGAGACATCCGAACGGCCAACTCCTCCAAGGAGGAGAGGCCTCCACACGGACGACTCCTCCAAGGAGGAGAGAAATCCAAACGGTCGACTCCTTCAAGGAGGAGAGGCCTCTAGACGGACGACTCCTTCAAGGAGGAGAGACCTCTAGACGGACGACTCCTCCAAGGAGGAGAGACATCCGAACGGCCAACTCCTCTAAGGAGGAGCGGTCTTCAGACGGACGACTCCTCCAAGGAGGAGAGGCCTCCAGACGGACGACTCCTCCAAGGAGGAGAGGCCTCCAGACGGACGACTCCTCCAAGGAGGAGATACATCCGAACGGCCGACTCCTCCAAGGAGGAGAGACATCCGAACGGCTAACTCCTCCAAGGAGGAAAGGCCTCCAAACGGATGACTCTTCCAAGGAGGAAAGACCTCCAGACGGATGACTCCTCCAAGGAGGAGAGACATCCGAACGGCCGACTCCTCCAAGGGGGAGAGACATCCGAATGGCCGACTCCTCCAAGGAGGAGAGGCCTCCAGGCGGACGACTCCTCCAAGGAGGAGAAGCCTCCAGACGAATGACATCTCTAAGGAGGAGACACATCCGAACGGCTGACTCCTCCAAAGAGGAGAGGCCTCCAGACGGACGACCGTCGTGGGTCCACGTCCCCAGAAATACCCCTTAGTGGATAAGGGAGTTACGTCTGGGTTTGAAAAATGTCAATAATGCTGGCATTAATTACAAGCCCAGAAACCACCCTTTAATGGATGGTGGAGGATTAAAGGGGGATTTGCGTAGCCGCAATAAGGGACAAGTTGGATGAGTGAACAGTGAAAAAGGTGGTGACAGGCTATAGGTCTGGGCTCATAGGCTAATAGGCCACTCAAGTGGATTGGACTACCAAGAAAAACCACCCATGAAGTAATCTCTCGCTATAAAAGGGGCAAGCCCCGAAGGAAAGAGGAGGAAGATTTTGGTTATTTTCATATGTAATCAGAGAATAGATAGCTTATTTTATGTAATCCAAAATGAGCCCAAGGGAAATAAAATACACAAGTGGATGTAGCTCTTCATTATCAGAGTGAACCACTATAAATTTCGTGTCTCTTTTCATTCAAGTGCTATCCTCATATTTCCTCCACCACAAAAGTGCAAACACACACTTCATAGTATAATTTGAAATATAGAGTTAATTCCTTACCGGTAACCCAACGGGATACCAAAAGGTGATCCGGTGTATTTCTGTTGACGAAATTTGACCGTCAACAACTCTTTACAACATAAAAATGTGGTATGTAGCAATCGGGAAACTTTTTCTTTAACGACAAAAAATTTCTAAAAGACAGTTTTTCTAAAAAGAATTTAAAAAAAAAAAAAAAAAAAAAGCTGAAAGACAGTCAACATGTCGTTTTCCAATTCAATCATTAAGATTTGGATCTAATCACAGTAGAAGCGATGTTTTTGCACTGTTTCCTACCCACTAATATTTCCAGCTCATTTCTCACTAACATTAACTTGTCAAAATTTAAAGCATCTCTTTCACAAGGCATAACTATATGCGTATGTGCATTATACATTGAACACGAGTGGCTGGCCTTGACAATAGTTTAATAATTTATGGTATTTCCATTTTGTCACGTATGTTTATAAACATCATGATACTTGACTTATTCTTATAGAAAAAACAGCTTCTATCAATAAAATAACATATTCCTGCAGACCTTAAACGTGATTATTATGCATCATATACGCTTCCCTAGTGTAGAAAAAGAGGGCACTAATATTTTCTTGCAGCTTCAATTGTGTGAAATCGAGCTCTTTTTTTTTTTTAATTCTCTTTTTCCTACATTCTTGCATTTTCTTGGAAGTTGCTTCCTTTGCATTATTGAATGACTTAGTAATATGTCCCTTTTATGTGTATTCTCCTTATTTTTGTTGATAGAAGTACTCCTACCCTAGACAAATGGAATCATTACAGCTATGATATCCGTTTGGGTTGCATTATGCTTAATAAAGGATTGAATCCCATGAATAAATAAATAACCAAGGAATTGAATGGGACTGAATGAGTCCACGAGAAAAGTTTATGGTTTAATCTTAGCTTGAGAAAATAATTTTATCATGTTCTTTTTCTTTCTTAATTTGCTCTGATTTCATTTGTTCAAATGCTTTACTTTAATGATCAAGGCTCCTTTTCATTTTGAATCTTTCAAAACGTGCACATATTCAGTAGCTCCTCACATTGACCTCTGATCTTAAACTGCTTGTAAGTCAAAACCATTGATCGGTCTGTAAAACAATTAAAAATAAAAACAAGTAACAACACTCTTTTAGTTATGAGAGTTCATATCAATATTAAAAAAGTAATTGAAAATTTGAAACTTGAAAATTCTTCTCATGGAATAGAGTTAATTTTTAGTTCACATGTTTATTTATGTAGCTTTAAATTTGAAAAGATTGCGAAAAAGTAATAATATAATCGCAGAACGTATGGCCAAAAGTCATTGAATTTTGTCTGCAAAAAGATATGTACATGTATCATTATCTCACTGATATACAAGCATATATGAAAAGCTGGTTCCCAGACTTCTCCTATTTCTAAATATATAGTTTCTAATCAGCTAGTGGTTGAGGATGTTTAGTAGAGAAACTCTGGCTTTAATCAAACGCCTGTAGAAGCTCTCAACTCCTTCTAGATCTTGAATGCACATTTCCAATTTCTGAAGCTCGTTTTGTGCATTCTCTTCAAGCGTGCTATCCGATTTCTTTGACTTTTGGCTGATCAGCAAGCTGTTCAATACGGCATCTGCGTTTGCGAATTCGTTTAATTTGTTGGCTTCCTCACAAGATACTTTCTTAGAGTTCATCAACTTGGAAACCAATGACCAGCTGCTTGACTTTGGTCCGGAGATGAAGGAAAACATTGATTCGAAAACTGCAAGAGTAACTGACTGAACCTCTTTCAACATGCTAACAATTTCTTGATCCTTGTTAAGAAGACTGAAGGTGCATTTGTTTTCCATGGCCTTGTGGAGTGCCTTCTTCACCGTTTTCCTAGAGTTCAAGAATTTCTTGACCTCACTTGATAGACTCGATTCACCACCGCGTCTTCTGCGAATAATTGATTGAAGTTCTTGTGTGGATTCCTTTGTTTGCTGCAAGGCATCCTTGGCAGCGTTGCATACATCCAGGAGTCTAAGAGATCCATCCAAAAGCTCATTAACCAATTTCTCATTCTGTTCTTTGTTCAAACCTTGTTGATTTAGTGGTAGTAGAAGCAACTTGTCAACACAATCGTGCAGATCTTGAAGTTCACTTAGCTTGCAGGCGAGTGAGGTTGCCGACGAAGAGGCTTCGTCAGAAGACCTCAATCTGCACAACTGATCTTCGAATTCCGAAATGAGAGGGTGTTGCCTAGAAGGCAAGCTATTGGAGCGGGTGTGGTAGGCTGCCATTATACTTTCTTACAAAAGGAACTAAGAAAGCTGATCTCTAAATGTTGAACAAATTAACTCTAGAATTTGCCTTGCTTTTCTTTGGCTTGGATCATCTGTATATATATTCAGAGGGGTGAGGCCGTGAGGGAGACAAGGAATCTCATCCTCTTTAATACACAATGAGACTAACATGATTGCCATTTGGATGTTTATGCCATGTCTCCCCACCACCAAGTACGGATCTTGTCCCCAACATCATAGCTATTATATCAGGCAAATATATATATATATATATGTATATATGTATGTATGTATGTATATATGTATGTATATATAGCTTTCGGTTGAGGAGCACATATTACAGAATAAGAAATAAAATTACATCGCACGAGTACTAATCATTTGAAACAAGAAGAGGCAATCTCCGTTGGCATACAACTTCACTTGAGACAAGAGGGGACCACTCCTGGGAATTCGTACAGCAGAAATTTTTATATTTCAACAAGAATGCAGAGGTTATGAAATGATTGTATTATTACACAAACACGCCCAAATATAAAAGTTTTCGTGAGGTTCTTTAAGTGCTACTATTACTAATAATGGCCTCCTAACAAAGATATTGGTATGAATTTTTCATAGAGCATAAAAGAGTCAATATTGTTGAAAGATATTAAATTGATGTCGTTTTTTGGAAGCTCTTGTCGTTTCTTACGCTCTTTCTAGTTGTTGTCGTCTGCAAGTTCATTGTCGTTTTTCCAGCTGATCTTTTTTTTTTGGAAGTTACTGTCGCTTTTTACATCGTACTCAATTTGATGGTTGGTTGCTATATACATATATATATAGATATGTAAATTTTTTTTTTTTTGTCTCTCTCGTCTTAGAGTCAAATTTCATTAATGTCGTTTTTTTGCTGATGTTGGTTTCCGGTTTTAGTTGTTGTTGTTATCGTTTTCATGAAAATATTGTCTTCTAATTGTTATTGATTTTCTCGTTCATGTCTTTTTTTAGTCGTGTATACAATTTTGAGTCTCGCTCTGCCCTTTTTTTTTTTTTGGTTCTACACTTCTACTCATCGATGTCTTTTTTCAGATTCTAGTCGTTTTTTTTATTATCAGTCCAGTTCACAAGTGATTATTGTCGCTTTCCTATTCATTTTTTCCCTTAAATCTTGTTGCTTTTTTTATTTCTCTTATAACAATTGTCTTTTTTACCGCGTATGCCGTTTTCTCTTATATATATTTTTTTTATCAGTTTTCTATTTCTTGTCGCTTCCAAGTTACTGCGTTTCTGAGTTTCTTAATTCTGGTATTGTCGTTATATGAGTTGATGTCGTTTTTATGTTCTTGTCGTTTCTTCAAATTATGTCCCTTTTTAGTTCGAATTTTCCTCCGTTGACTTTTGGTGTACATCACATTTCGTTTCTTAAGTACTTGTACGTGATAGTTGCTCTGGTTTTGTATTCTTGCCGGCCTGTTTTTTTTTTTTTAATTAAATCTTCTTTTTTTGACAACTTTTTATATTCGGACCATGTTTAGGTAATTGTATTCTGTTTCTTTGAACAGAAAATGAGTTTTTTTTTTTTCTTTTATCATACTTGATTGGATTTCATATTTGAATGAGAAGGTTAATTTTTACTTAATTTGGAGAGACATAATTTCGATTTAGATCTCAAACTTTGCTGGGCACTGTTTCCACAATGTCTCCCTTCCACCACCATACCAACTAATGGACCATTTAGCGCGGCATGCCAATCTCTCTGAAGTAACCATTTTTTCATCTCTATGTAACGTACCAACAAATTTACACAAATATGTAAATGTACAAAAACTCCCCTTCAGCACAAATTTTCAAAAAAAAAAAAAAAAAAAAAAAAAAAAAAAAAAAAAAAAAGAAGTGCACGAATGACATTTGATCAATGTATTATTTTTTAAGGGATGATCATGTGTGTTTTGGTAATGAGGCAATCATATTGTTTTTCACGAAGACCTTGTAGTACCCTGCTGTTCTAACTAGTCTGTATCTGGACTGGTTTTCCCATTTTTCCATAACTGTGTCTATGACGGTGGCTTTGTAGTTGGCTGTCTTCTACTGTGCATCTGTGAGGTCTACCGAGGACTTCTGAAATGCTGCTACCGCTAAGTCTGAATCCATGAAATGGAGGAAATTCTGCTACGGGCTGGTGGATTAGATACTTGTTGTACGCCTGGATGATGTTTATATATCTGCTAAACTTCTCTTCTTCTTGTGTGAACTCTGTTGGAAGAGACTCTATGCTGATTCTGAGATACTTGTCTTCTTCTGAGTAGTATTGCTGGAGTGGTTCTGAAAGATCTCTGGGAACTTCTCTGCCTTTGATGATTAATTCTTCTGCTAGTTCGTACTCTAAGAAAAGAAAGGGTCTTAATTCGTCTCAGTTTATTCTAACTTTAGGGAAGAGGAAAGGATAGTCTGAATCAACTGGAGCATGTTCTATTCCAATTGATAATCCTGGGATTGAATCTAAGTTCTGGAAGAGGTGGTTAATTAGTCTGGTATATCTCCTAAAAGAACTGTCTTCTTGTTTTTTTATAAACTATTTCTTGGATAGAGAGAGGGAGACTGTCTATTTTCTGGTGAAAAAAATTTGGTTCTAATTCTGGGAAGATATCAGGGAGGCCTGAAATCTTTTCTGTCTGGAGTTTTAACAAATCTGTTTCTAGGATTCTTATTCTGGCTATGAGGTCTGGTCTTTCTGGGTCTGAAGGTTTACTGGCTATTTTATGACTCTGATAAGCTAACTGTGCTTCTTCTTCGGTTTCAAAGCCTTGCCAAAGGGGCTTGCCTTTGTAACCTGTTATGCTACGCACTGCCTGGTTCCACTGGTTGAATACTCCTGTGAAATTACCTGCATAGACTGTATAGAAACTGAAATTTTTCTTCTGAGGTAGGCTATCTGGATGGACTAGATGACTGGTGTTGTGGAAGAAAACTGAAAACATTTTTAATCTCAGACATAAATTATTTTTGAAAATGCGTTTAGTAGTTTTATCAAAAAATTATTTTCAATGTAAAAAAACTCATTAATGTCTCTCTTTCTCTCTCAACTCGAGAGAGGAGAAAACGAAAATAAAAAATGAAAAACGACTAAAATTCGTTTTTCATTTCTCTCTCATTTTACACTAAACTAAAAAATCATTTTTATTTCTGTTTTTTGTCTTTATTGCGCTAAACACCGTTTTAAAAACGTTTTCATTTTTTATTTCTCAAAAAATGTAAAAAATAAAAACGGGATCAATTACAAACACAGCCTATAATTTTTGAAACCCATCCTTTAAGAGGTATGGTACTATGACTGATATTCTGAATTGGTCCTTTAAGAGGATCCAAACTACTCTGGGTCGTTCACAACTGTAACTCATTTTTTGTTGTGAACACTTAATCTACTGGTCGTTCATATCTGTAACTCATTTTTTGTTATGAACACCTAATCTAAGGGGAAAGGGAGATCTGGCTGTTAGCCATGATCATCTAAGATAAGTCTTGAAAGCTGATCTGCAAACACATTCTCCTTTCCTGCAATATGCTCAAAGCTACAAATATAACCTCTGCCTGTTATACAATCTATAAAATTAATCCATCTTCTGGCTGATAATTGCTTTTCATTTTTAAATTTATAAAACTTGACTATTGCTTCGCAATCTGTTCTAACTGTAAAAGGCTTATGTAAATGAATCTCAAATTTATTTAATGCATTTATTACTGCTAAAATTTCAAAATCTAAACTAGTCATTTTCTGATCTTTTTCTTTCCATTTACCGCTGGCATAACTACATATTCTTTCTGAATTATTACTAGCATCTGGACTATCTTTAGCTATTAACACTGCTCCCCATCCTTCTTTACTACCATCTGTCTGAATTACAATGTAATCTGAATCTAGTGGTAATGATAAGTCTGGAAGATGTTTAACTTTTGTTGACGGTGTTTTTCCGACAACTCGTGGGTACCTCTCCCAAAAACACTCGCGGTTCAATTAAGGATTAAGACTGAAAAATAATGTAAAGAAGACAACAATTTTATAGTGGTTCGGCAATAATTCTTTTGCCTAATCCACTTGTGTATGCACTAATCTGTTTTGGTGTTTACAAGCTTCCTCGTGGTAATGCCATGGTGTCTCTCTCCTCTCTCGGTTTTCTTGACTCTATTTATAGGCCTTTACATGTGAATACGTATTCTCCGTTCCCAAGGAGGAAGCCATCTTCTGTCCTCGATCCGGGTGAGGGTAGGTGAGTTTTCATGATGACTGCTCCGGGGAACGCAGCTGATCCTTCCTATTTGCCGCCTAATTTCCTGACTCCTGCAGTAGCAGTCGGATCAATACTTCTCTCTTCAAGTTGACAAGACTGGCTGGATTTGACTGGACTGCTTCCGGTCTGATCTAATTCCTGACTCCTCGACACAAAGGCTTCAAAGGGCTTTTAGTGGACTTTGGCTTTTAGTGGACTTCTCGACTTCAACGACGCAAAGGCCTTAAGAGGACCTTAAGCACTTCTCGACTCCAACACCTTGACTCCTCAACGCAGAGGCTTCAAAGGGCTTTTATCATACTTCTCGACTTCAACGACGCAAAGGCCTTAAGAGGACCTTAAGCACTTCTCGACTCCAAGAGCGCTCCTCAACCTAGAGACATCTCCCTAACTGTTAGTTCTCGACATCAGGGATTTGTCCTGACTTTCGGAGCTCTCGACGCGTACGACAAAAGTGGGTGGCTTGAATGGTCGACCATGGTGTAACAACTTTCTCTTTAATGTTCCTAATTACTTTTCTGTCTTCATTATTGAACTTAATGTTTCCTGTTAAACTAGTTTTAGCAAATAAACTGCTTATCTGTCTGCTTAAGTCTTTGATGAATGGTCTGGCATGGTTAAGTTTTCCTAAAAATGATTGAAGCTGTTTCTTATCTGTAAATTCATATGGCATTTCTAAAATACTTTTGCTAATGTGAGGCTGAAGGCTGATTTTTCCTTTACCTATTTTTA